CCCCCCCCCCCTCCCAACACACATACACACACCCACACCCACACACACACACACACACACACACACTCACACCGCCCCCTCCCCCCACACACAAATACGCTTACATAAATAATACATCATGAATGGAACAAGATCGGGCGTCAGTTTATTGTGCGCCTCAGTCATTTTTTAGTGCATGGCAGCAGTTCTTGGAGTATTGCCCAAGACCCCTGCACCCTCCCTTTTCCCCTCCTCCTCCCCTTCTCCCACCCCCACCCCCCTCCTCCCACACACAGGCAAATAATAAAGTATAGAGCAAGGAACGAAGGTCGCATTATTGCACAAAAACGAAAGTTTGACATTTTCGAATATGTTCCATTTCGTCTCAACCTGGTAAATTTTTTTTTTTTTCAAATTAAACATATAATTCAGACGTGCCTGGGTGGGTGTGGGTCATGAGGGTCACCTTTATTAGTAGTTATCGTTATAATACCCAATTCATCTTTAAAAAACGTACAACATTACGAGGCACAAAGCTCCACTTAAGCTGTACACTTAAGCTGTACAGAAATGGTAAAACAAAGTATGTATTAAACAGTAAGAGACTGTTTATAAAAACATCTTTTCCAGGTTTTATTGAGGCGGATACAATCTTGAGATATATTTCTGAGTTAAATGAAATTAAATCTAATACGCAGTTCGACAAAGAAAATGTCTACACAAACACTTCATATTATTGCACTGCGTTAGCGTTTTTGTCTTCGTTCAGACAGTCACAGGGTTGTTCAAAGGTAAGAACTTGTGAGTAAGCTGACATGATCTTTCCGATTCGCAATCCATCTTCCCACAAAAGCAGACTTGTTTAAAGCATAACTCAAGTTGCTGAGGAAATTATTGCTGTGAAAAAAATACGGCAATTGTGGAGAACGACAGCTAGGCTAAAGAAATGTTAACGTTGTCAACAGCAGGTGAAAAATAGAACCAGGAGCTTTTGGTATTAGGAAAGATACAGAATTTCATGACAAACAAGTTAATAAATCTTGGGCGCCCACATTGAGTTGCAACTGTACGGCACAGATTAAAGAAACATAAATATCCAGAATAGTACGCACGCACACACACACACACACACACACACACACACA